CAGTTATAAGTCACACCTCTGCTCTTTCTGCCTGTATAGGGTCATAGGATTATAGTTTTCTTCTTTTTATCTTAAGGCTTCCTAGATCCCCTTGGATGAATTAATTCACAGGTTACTGACATGGGAGGGTCAGGTCGACTACCTTCACAACCATTTAGACTTGGGGTCCTAATAACTTGAGATGATAGATCCATGATATATTAACTCGGCTATCGTTACACGATTATGATCACTCCATCCTTTCTTTGTTATCTCTTTTGAACCATGTTGCTCCTTTTGATGTCTCGTCAATGTTTTCTTGTAGGCTTCGATTGTGGATAGACCACCACCCATTTGGGATGTAGTGATTCACGATCTACCATTATGATCCGGTTTGTCTTGGGAAGCATAATGTGGACCCTACGAGTCGACTGAGATACTTCAGTAGCATCATGTGCTAACGAGTCGCTGTCATTTGGGATATTAAAGACACAGTTCTGCCAAGTGGCTTAGCGAGAGCTTTGAAAGTCATGAGATGTTCCTATGAGATAACCCTCCTTTATGACACTCTATATTGTTCATCACTTAAAATTTAAGCAGACTCATTTTATAGAGAGCATACTTGGGCAGCACCCAAGATGTAATTAACCAAAGAGATACGTCCCTTTGGGGGTTGCTCTTCACCCCAGAATAATCACACACACCTAAATCTCTGGTTGTGGGTTTCTTTTGTAGGGTCTTCTTCGCCGATACATTTCCAAGACATTTTCGATTTGATCTCATTTTGAGCTTACGCTCTTGGGCTATCACGCAAAATTTTCTTCAAGAAAGTTCTCCACGTGCTTTTTTCTCATTTGTTTTCATTGTTACGTTCTTATGTTTTAATTCCTATTTTCTTTAGATCAGCCACATGATCTGAAAAAGAGATTTCCTACGAAAAGAGAATTGTATGACGATAGACAAGCTGACGACTCCTTAAAATAAAAAAGAGAAAATATGACAAAAATAATAGCCTTTGAGGTGTTCCCTCCTCCAAGTGGATGCACTTGGACATAAGATCAACCACCTGGTTATGCTCATCTTTTCCATGTTATACTAATCTTCTAGTTGATGGCATATTTAACACACACTGCACCTTTTAGGACGTTGACTCTGAATATGTCTTATAAATCTCACACAAAGAATAGTGCATATAATAGGAGAGAGAGAGAGAGAGTACACAATAAAGGGTTGGTTCTTTGATGATTTATATTTATAGGCAGTGGTGTATACTGTGTACAACTACATACTTGTCCCTACTTTTATAAGTGTTATGGGGGTAATTTTGGTATCAAAATCTATGACTAAGCTACCTTTTTACTCAGTCGATTGAGGTTGGTAATCCTAGGGTTGGCAAGACCCATTCAACCGACTCTACTAAGTTGGGGCAGCCAGTCAACTCTAGAATTCTTTTGGTCATCTGAATCTTTGCACAGTCGGCTTGGCCAGCCAGTCAACTACTTTGGTCTGGTGGTCGACTATCGACCCTTATATGAGAAGCCAATGTCGTCATTATGAGACTAAATTATCGGGCAGATGGTGGATCATCATAGTTTGATAGGTAACCTACCCCTTGATTGAAGGTCCATCTGAATTGTTCGTGGAGTGTGTTATGATAAGAACCTTAGGACTCTTGAAGAGTCTTGGTGGGCTCTTAAGAGGCGCTTGACAATGTCAACATGAGAATTGGGCTGATGTCTTTTCTCGGTTTGATGTTCTTCATCGATTAGGGCAGCCTTCATTTGGCAGGCTTTGGACCCTTACTCCAAGGGAGCTATGGTTGATTAATTCGACCTTTTTAGTCTTCTGCTCGTTTGACATTTAATCTTCCTTATATGGGACATGCTTGATCACACTTTTTTTTCTCTCAGTCCGTTGAATTTCATCGAAATTCATGCTTACGCATTTCTAACAGACAAAGAGAAATATATTCTTTCATGTATAAATAAGTTGGTATACATATATAAATTGAAATTTAAATATTTCATATGTATATACATAAAAAATTGAGCGGCATGCATTGAATCTTCCATGTTTTTAAATGCATATTCAAATTCAACTAATAATCCTTTTATATGAGGAATTATTGCGTGCGGACACCGCATGCATCTCTGCATGCGGTGTCCGATCCTGGCCGTAGATCACGGTGATCTACGATCAGGATTATTTCAGTTTTTCTTTTTAAAAAAAATTTAAGTGGGACCCACCGAAATACATCGGGACCGTAGATCAGGTGATTTACAGTCCGGATCGGACACCGCAAGCAAGCTGCGTGCGGGGAATAATTTTTCCTTTCTATGACGACAAAAATACATCCTCGATCCATCCAATGCTCCCACAACCTCCATTATTTACAAATAAGTTGGACATTAATGGTATATCCTTAAATGTACTGCCTTCGCGTGCATGGATTTATGAATGAACTGCAAAAGCTTGCTGCATCTCATCCGGCCGTGGATGTAAAAATAATGTATGATGGCCCCTCTTTATTAGTATTATTATCGTCACATATTTATTGTTGTTAACTGAGAACACGCAGATCGTGCGAAGTGGATCCATTTATTCAATTATATTAATAATATTTCAACATTCAACCTTAAGTAACGTAACGGAATATAGCTGGAATTCTTCACATCGTCAATATGTAAGGAAAAAAAAAAATAGAAACGACTGGGATTGTGTTAATATTTCGCTTCCATGCGGTGAGCTCACGGTGAGAAATCATATCTTCAACTACTATGTCACGAGTAAATATATGCTCGAGGTTTTATTTGGTATATAGTTCTCTTAAGGAGCAGAGAATAATAATATCTTTTTTTGTGCAGGCATACCCCTACTATGTATTGATATGCTTTCAATGTTCTTAATTCATCCCTGCATACTTCTTAGGTCAGGGTTTGAATCTTCTTTGACATAGTTGACCTTAAAAAAGGAGTACTAGAATTGTTAGACACAATAGAGGTGTCTGGAGGCCCGTATAATAGACTCTAGTCATTCCTTTGTTTTATATATATATCATAATTGAATTTTGAATTGTGTTAAATGATAGTAGATATAGTGGAGCTCGAGATAAATTAGATAGTTGTTGTCAATAACGGTGACGTGTGCACATGTAGAGACTGGGGAGAATGAAGGGGTAAGTGTGTATTCAATGCAATGTTTCAAAGCATTTTTCGATGAATTTAACACATGTTAAAGATTGGATGATGCAACCATGTTTTTTTTTTTTACTTCTGTGTGATCATTTGTAAGAGTGATATTTGGCAAAAGATAATGTTAACCCAACTGAAAGTGTCCGAATAATTATTTTGACATATCCCATGGTGTTCATTGGAGCACTACTAAATGACTTCAAACCAATATGTAATAGGTTAAAGACAACTCATCAAAAATATTAAAGTATCAAAAGTTGTTTTTCAAAGTTTATGAAAGATTAAAAGAACTCTACCAAGTACATTTTGCATTTTTTAGATATATAATGATTTTAATCTGTTAAAGAAAAGTTGAAAGAAGCCCACTAATGATGTTTGACCTGTCTGCGCAATTAATTCGAGTGTTGTTAAAAAAAAGTTCATATACGTGCGAAAGATGTTGAAAGAGACATATCAAGAATTTTTAACTTAGATACGAGGCTTTTAAATAGTGTATTTGCTTGAAAATATTAATTTTAGTAGAAAAGGTTGAAAGAAAAATTTTTGACCTATCCTCGAGATTATCCATTAAGTTCTCATTAATTCCACCCATATCAAAGAAATCAAAGAAAATCCACCCTGATATTTGACCTACATGAGATTATTTGTTAAATTAAGCCTAAAAAATATTAACCTAAATAGAAATTGTTGAAAGAAATGCATCAAGAATATTTGACCTACTTGAGACTATTAGTCAGAGTATCGCATGTTGACATTAGACTCTCTATAAGAGATTGAAAGAAATGATTTAAGAAAATTCGATATATTCAAAGTTATTTGTTAGTGTTAATTAATAACGTTAGCATATATAAAAGATGTATTATTTGATCTATTCAAAGTCGTTTAACAGAATATTAATGACAACAATCTATATAAAAGAAATCAAAAGCAATTCAGCAAGTTTAGCACAATTGACACTATTAGTTGGAGTGTACTTAACAATATAAGCCTATATAAATGAGATAGAATAAAAAAACCCTAGAAATCGATTGTACTCACGTGTTTCAAATCAGAGGCGAAGATTGTTTTCCGGCAGTGCTATTACACATGTGCTCTGAACCATCTTAAACAGTATAATTGTATCTTTATATCTTTTTTTTCATTCTAATTAACAATTAAGTAGCATTTTAATAATCTTATTAGCGGACAAAAAACATTATTAAAATCATAATCATTCCATGCCAACTTGTTGTGAAATTTAGGACAATAATCACAAGAATCGACACAAAGCTAGAAGAAGAACGCAGAGATTCAACGAGCTTCGATAAAAATGCCTACATCCTTGGGAGTGAGCGGTAAATTCACAATTTCAGAAGTTCGGAAATGATGGAGATCCGTTTAAGACACTTGCTGTCATCAAACCGACGGCAAGAGGAGCTTCAATCCGATCCAATTTCCAACATTAAGTATTAAACAATCTTCCATTTTTGTTGATGTTCAAAGTTTAGCTTCGAAAACCAAAATTTGGTATCATAGTGAAGTTGCCAAAGAAATGGCCAAAAATGATGGAGATCCATCTAAGACACTTGTTATCATCAAACTGATAGCAAGAGGAGCCTCAATCTCAATCCAATTTCTAACATTTAAGTGCTAAACAATCTTTCATTTTTATTGACAATCTTTCATTTTTATTGACGTTTGAAATTTAGCTTGGAAAACCAAAACGACTAACCCTAAATGCTCATTATTGCAACCTCATCCGCTTAATAAAGCTTCTTAAGTTCTGCAGCATAAAGCTATCAATAAAAGCTCAGTTAAAAAAAACACGTGGAAATTGTACCATGACTGCCCAAATTTGGCAAATTCCCCTCATTATTAATCGAGCCATCACGTGCTAATCGTTGAAGTACACTAAGTCAAAAGTTACAACTGCCACATAGACTTTGTGAGACATACATTAATCAAAAATTGCGAATCCGTATGCATCCTCTCCAATGAATGTAAAACTAGCATCTTATGCTGAGAATCTAAACACCAAATCCATGAAGGATGAAAATAAATTAAAAGAGAGCAGGAAACAGGAAATGAGAAAAGTGTGATGATTTCATGGTTCTACTCCGAGCTGAAAATAAATTAAAAGAGAGCAGGAAATGAGAAAAGTGTGATGATTTCATGGTTCTTCTCCGAGCTCAGCGAATGCAGTTGAGACTCATACATCCCGACAACAAGCTCCTCAGAGGCTTCTTCTGCAACAAGAACGAATTACAGAAAACTTTGATTAAAAAAAAAGATTTTTTCCATAGCAACTTCAAAGAAAACACCTAATGTGCGTGCAGATGGGAGATGGGTTATACTGAAATAATATTGAGATGATACTGGAGATGCAATACCACCCCAATATCATGAAATACATGCATGATAATTATGAGATGGAGAAAGAGAGGGAGAGAGACCCTCATAGGCTTTTGATGGAGAAACTCAGGGGGAATCTTATACAAATCCTCGTCCACAGCATTACGCCTCCTCAGAGTACCTGCGGCAGCACCAAAGCCCCTTCCCTGTTTAATGTGTTGCTTCTCAGCTCCGTCTTCATTCCCCGACTTCACCTGAGACCAACAAGATCCGCTTCACTAAACAAACGAAAACTTAACAAAATCTCGAAAAAGAGCACAGGAGAGCACGGAAGGCCGAACCTTTCGGCGACAATGGCCGCCGTAAGGATTACCATACTTCACAGGCATGGCTACTGGCACCTCGAAAAGATCTTCTTCGTCAACAAATCTTGCTCTCCCCTGGCTTGCGGATTTGTAGTACTGGGTGATGAACCTCTCGTCGCAGTTCCCAAAAGCAGGGATTTGCCAGCTCTTCATCCCCTGAAACCAATCATGTTCATATAAAACTTCCCAACCCAAAAACAGAGCAAAAGCAAAATTAACAAGTACTGAAAAAAAAAAAATCCAATCTTGGAGCGGAACGCTATTTTTCTGACCTCCATATCTCTTCGCACAGTAACAGCGCGAGCGAAGCAGAAGACACAGTGGAGAGGGAGAACAGTAATGGTTGGTCGTAAAAGTGGCTCCTTTAATAACGGAGCAAGGCCTGCAATGCTCTGCTCGCTTTAAAGAGACGAGGATGGGCTACTAATGACGAAGGGGAGAGCTTTGGATGGAGCGAAGAGGCGGCAGTAGTGGGTTATCCCGAGGAGCAGAGAGGCGGCAGTACTGGGTTTTGACCTGTGAGGCATTGGGAGCCGCTCCCTCCATCTCTGTTTTCAATGGATGGCGCGGGGAAGTGTGGTGGTCGCGATGCTGGCTTTTGGATGAAGCAAAACTACAATATCATCTAACTCAAATAATATTCGATTAAAACTTTAATATTAATAATTAAATAAATTTAATCATGAACTAAAATGATATGGTTTTTTTATTTATGTTTATTATTCAACAAATAAATTATTGAATATTTGATATTAGTTGTAATAATAATTCATGTTACATTTGAGGTATTACTTTAAAAAAATTAGTAAACTGGATTTTATTTAATTATAAATTTAAAATAATATAATTTATGTTAATATCAATGATATTTAAGAATAAATTATTAATTATATATTTATTTTATTTATTTGTGTTTATTAATTAAGTCATTTTATTATACTCACGTTTTTTTTAATATTAATTAAATTATAATTACATAAATATATAGTATTTTCTTATCAATTGCATAATTCATATTAATTATATCATATCAAATATATCTCCCTTTATTTCATACAAAATGCTTCTTATTTAAGTAAATGTTCACATTTTTTTTTTATCTTTTTATTTTTTAATAATTTATCTGTCATAAGTGAACATACATGTTAATTTAATATAAATCAAAAATTAATATTTATTTATGTTATTTTTTTTTTGAAAAAAAATGTTCCTGACTTATATTATATATATTATCTTATTGGAATACATATCCATCACTCAATTCTTATGTACATGCATGCCACCTTCCCTACAATTTTTTTTTAAATGGTGGTATTTTTTTATGTGATGTGAAAGATTTTGATGGTATAAATGCAAATATTAAAGATAAGTTGTTAGATATGTAAATACATAAGAATTGGGTAGTACATAGCTAAATACACCTATCCTATTAAAGATAAGTTGTTAGATATGCAAATACATAAGAATTTATGGGCTGCGTCTTGTAGCCCTTCATGTAGCGTATCCTTATAGATGACTTGGGAGGTAATCCTCCGTATACAAGAGAAAAAAATAGCCTTTGTAATTACTCTACCATTAATAGAATTCCTCCTAAATTTTTCTCTCAAGCTTTTTGTCCTATACTCTATTCTTTCTCTCTCTATCTGTTCTAGCCAAGAAGGCAAAAGGCTGAGCTATTGTAAGGCCAGTGGGCTTCAACTAATTTGTGTTTCTGCCCTCGGAGGAGATGATTATTTACTCATTAGTCATTACTGAAATGCTGTACTTTCTGTGTTGGGGTATTTATATACATAGCAAATAATTTGCTTACATGTCTCACACTTATACTTTCATACTAACACAATATCACATCTACAATAGCATTATTATCTCTTTTTGCCAGTGAAATACAACTTTTCATCTATGGATTTAAAGCAACAAAGTATTATATATTGTTGGATTCTAAATTTGTCCTTTTTTAACACGCCTTGAGAGTTTGAGGATCGAGTGAAGGAGAAGAGAAGAGAAGAGTGAGTATAGCCCATCAGAGGTTGTCTGTTGAAAGAATCGATAAAAGATCTCTTTATTCATATTTTTCTTCTTTATTTATAGAGATGTATTTTGTGTAAATACATAAAGGAGGGAATAGTTATAGAAATTGTTATTAATACATTCGATATTCTAATTGATTGTATGAATTTTATATTATATTTGTATTACAATTTGAATTATAGCATGACGGCAATTAGTCGGACCTCTTGCTTGAATTCAGTCGGCTGAAGCGACCGGTTGAATGACAGCCGAACGATGGATTGGTTGGCCGAGGAGCCCTCCGTCCGATGTGGTAAATACCGGTCGGTTGATCAGTCGTGATCAAGAATTCCTGTATGCGTCCCGGTCGACCCAGACTGTCACATGACATGTCACTTGAATCTCTCGACACAATGCATTGGTTGATTTCCGGCCGTGAAGTAGTGTATGGTAGGATGCCGTGGTTGCCTGGCCATCATCTGGACCACCAGAATGCTTCGAGATTTATGCAGACAACTATGACAATATATATATATATG